CGGTTGGTAAAGGTCATCCTGCCTGGGCACCCCGCAGCGGCCAGGTGGAGCCCCTTTAGTCCCGGTTCGTAAGAGAACCGGGACTAAAGGTTTTGGGCTTTAGTCCCGACCCTTTAGTCCCGGTTTCAGAACCGGGACTAAAGGCCCTCTTGAACCTGGACTAGTTCCTTGTTTTCTACTAGTGGTTTACTATTCATCATGAGTTTACAACCTTAATCATTCTCCAATTGCTCCAATTACTTTACATCACAACTACGCAAAGTTTGACCAAATTTATATCAACATCTACAATATTAAAGCTATACGGGATGAAAATTAATCTCATGGCGCTTCTAATAATATTAATTTTACATGGTGAGTGCCTATATTTTTTTTTTCTATAAAGCTAGTCAAACTTTACAAAATTTGACTTTGATCAAATTTTATATGCAAATTAAAAAGACAACCATGATAAGATTAGCCCAGATCTCTCTCCATCAGATCATAGGATAACCACTAAAGGAAGACCCGAAAATTCCCAGTCTAGAGAAATACTTCCTCTAGAGAAATGTAAGACAAAAATTTTGGGACGGAGGGAGTAGATATCACAATGGTACTTAATAAGAAATCAAAAAAAAGTTAATTCTAAACCTATCCTCTAAGAGCATCCACAGTGTGATGTTTTGCTGCCTCTAAGGCAGCCTCTAAGGCCATAGAGGCAGACGCTATACACTGTGAGAACAGCCTCTAAGCCAAATTTGCTTAGCATCGATGCTATGCTTGGAGGCAGCCTCCAACTCTGTCCATGCAATAAAATAATTTACTGGCCCTACATGTCATAGAAGAAGAGTATGCATGTGTCATGTCAAGAGGATAAGGAGCCCCTTGGTAATCAATATATTATACATAGTGGGGACATCTTAGAGGCTGATAACATTTGCTATACACTGCGGAATTTTGAGCTGACTCTAACAGGAGGACGTGGGTCCCAGCTTGGAGGCAAGCCAGCCTCTAAACGTTGTGGATGCCCTAAGGGCATGTACAACGCCGTCCACTCAGCTGTCTGTAAGACCTGCCACGTTGGATATTTTTCTACGTGGAAGAGAGAGAGGGAAGAGAGAGAAGGAGGCTGTCTGCAGTTCGGGAGGCGGTCGATAGCCCAGAAAAGGCGCTAGCTATCGATAGCCAATTCCCGTTGTACGTTCAGGCATCTGTAGCGAGTAGTTCCCTTTGCCTAGCCCCCGTGTTTTTTATCGTCAATATTTCCTGTTTTTTTGGTGCTACAGATAGGCAAAGAGATGAACTATTGTACAGGCTGTTTTTAAGGCTATCTACAACTGACGTGGGAGATTGCTATAGGCGAAGGGTATCTAAACTGATGTACATGCCCTAATGGTTTTACCACCCGCCTATAATTTGGTGTGTATATAATCACTGAGCAGTTCTTAACCCAAATCACAAATAAGCGTGTATCACTGCAAAACGTCCATGGGAGTTGGAGGAGGCTTACCACGCGACACACACTCTGCAGGTCTAATCTCCGTCCGCCGTCTGCCTCCCGGCCGTCGTGCTGCCGTCCACCACTGATGCTTCAACTGTAGCCGCCTTCGCGGCTTGAGAATCTCCCGATCTGGTCACAGCCTGGGTAACAGGGAGCGGGGACTGGCGAGTGGGGAAGGCAGAGGAACGGCAGGCGGGAGCGGAGCTTTGTAGGCCAAGAGATTTGGGGATTCGTAGTTGCTTCCTGCTTGGACTGAGTAAGCAGTGGCTTGACCTGAAGTGGGTCGTCGGGGTGGTTGCCTGCGGGCTGCGGCCCCCCGCTTTCCTGGCAAATTCGACTCCGCGTCCAACCCGCGGAACGTCGCCAACCCGGTGAATCCCGGTGCCTTTGCGCCGTGGTTTAGGTTAGGATCTTCGAGGCTCAAAGGGGCTCCCCCTCCCTCGACCCCCTCGTGTCGCCCTCGTGGGCGCCCGGGAAGAAACCCTAGCCCCTGTTTTTCGACCCGGCCCGCCCACCTTTCCTCCTCGCCGTCGTCCGCAGCGACGCCGGGCAAAGCCTGGCTGGCAGGGCGGCGGCGGGGCTTCTT